GGGACAATTCAAAGAACAAGGCAAACTGCCTAGTTCAACTGTTGTCAATCCAAATGGAGGCTTTGAAACCGCTAAGGCTATCATGTTAAGAAATGGCATGAAGATTGGAACCAACCCAAAATCATCCAAGCAAAGCCAAATAGAGGATGAAAAGCTGCTGTAAGAAGAAGAAGATGAGGATAAAGCTACGACAAGGGAAGAACAACCCTTGCCGTAGCCCCCTAAGAATCCCATACAATCCCACTAAGGTAAGGTTGGTTCGAATCAAATTCCTTCTAACCCTATTACATTAAATGTGCCTTTTCCTCGCAGGTTTATGAAATCTAGGAAAGCAGAGAACGAAAAAGACATCTTAGAAACCTTCAAGAAGGTACAAGTTAATATCCCACTTCTTGATGCAATAAAGCAAGTTCTAAAGTATGCTAAGTTTTTTAAGAAGGTTTGTACAACAAAGAAACGGATTCCCGAGAAGGAAGTGGTACATGTAAGTGAAAATGTCTCTGTAGTTTTGCAAAGAAAGCTGCCACCTAAATGCAAAGATCCAGGTAGTTTCACTATCCCTTATGTTATTGGCAATACAAGGTTTGAACATACTATACTAGATTTAGGTGCTTTCATTAATATCATGCCATATTCTATTTATACATCTATGAATCTAGGAGAGCTCAAAAATGATGGTGTCATTATTCAATTAGCTGATCGATCTAATGCATATCCAAAATGAGTTTTGGAAGATGTTTTGGTGCAAGTAGACCATTTGATTTTTCTAACAGATTTTTCTATGCTTGAGATGGATGATTCAACCCACTTTACACCATTGCCAATCTTACTTGGAAGACCTTTAAAAAAAACAGCCCAAACCAAGATTGATGTGTCCAAGGAAGCGTTAACCATGGAGTTTGATGGCAATGTGATCAATTTTAATATTTCTGAATCCGTTAAGTATCCTAATGATGTTCATTCTTGTTTTTCCATTAATGTGATTAAAAAATCGAAAATTTTTGAGAAAAATACCAAAAAGAGTCATTTTTGTTGTTTGTTTGTGTCTTAGGGTACCTTCCAACACAATGATGAAGATTTGGCTTTTAAGTGCATGACTGTTAAAGAAAGTTACAAACATGGGTGGAAGTTTGATATGCTTTTCGGTTAATGCTTAGTTGTAGTTGTCATTCACGAATTCATATATAATCACAAAGAAAAAAAAAATCAGTTTTTGTAACATGCTTGAAGGAAGAAACTCAAACTAACGCTACAACCCTGAGAGACTTGAGCCTATGCTTTGTTTGGAGAGTTATTAATCTGTGATATTCTTGTTTTCTAAAGTCGTTGCATGATCTCATTAGTTCTTTGGTCGGTTGCTACTTAAAATGTTTTTTCATCATTTTAGATTCAAATACTAGAACTCATGCCCGTTTCATTCAAAGCATAAAATTGATTGCATAACAAATAACAAGATAAAGTTGTTTAGTTACCATCAGAGCCAAAAAGCCTTATCCCTTGCATATGTATTGAAGGTTTAACCCATTTGAGCCTTATTTAGCCTATTTTTTTTTGTTAGCTTGCATTATCCCTACCTAGCCTAGTATAGGACTATCCATACCCTTGTTCTTAAAGAATAGTGGGAATTCCTTTTGATCTACAATATGTAGAAAAACAAGTGTGGGGGAAGAATTTGTCCTTGTGAATTGGTGAAGTAGTATGTTTTGTGAACCAAAAAGAAAAGAAAAAAAAAAGGAGGAAGAAAAAAAGAAGGAAAACAAGAAAAAAAGTTGGAAAGAAGTGAGAATGATTTCATAAGTGTTGGTTGTTGAAAAAGGGTCCAAAAATGTGAATATGATCCTAAATGTTGTACGAATCTCCCTTTTGTGTTTAAAGTTGGGTACTGCAATTAAAATTTGAATTCTAAGTGTTGATTTCATTACTTTGCTTACTATCACTTTAAGAACATTTGTTTATCCTTAACCATTCTTTGTTAGCCAATACCTTAGCCCAATTACAACCCTTAGACTTTTATCTTGATTGTTATGTTATTCAATATGTGGAGTTTGAAATTGGTACGAGCATATGGAATCTCTGGTTCTTGCTTCTAAGTAATGGCATTTCGTTCATGAGATCGTACACATGTTAGATTAATAATTCCAAAAAGTGCCTTCTTTGTTATAACATATGTGAGTGTTAGTCTATATGTTTACATCAATCTTCTCACATATACTTAGAATAGGGAGTGTAGTGAGAAATTGAGTGAATTTCTCTAAGGCATTGAGAGTATATCCGATGAGGAATTGAGTGAATTCTCTAAGGCATGCTACTACATTCAAAATGTTGTTTTAATTGATTAAATGCGAGCTAGTGAGTGGTTACTGCGATTAAGTATAAGCTCGAGGGTAAGGATGACTAAAATCTATGGGAGTAGTGATTTTTAACGTGCCATGTTTCATTGGAAATCCCTGAGGCAATTGTTGGAAGGTTTAGGTTGTGTCTTGTTTTCTTCATTTTGCTCGAGGACTAGCAAAAGCTAAGTGTGGGGGAATTTGATAGGAGCATATTTGTGCGACTTTGTTAGCTTATTTCTTTGTATTTACTTAGTTAGTTTATATTTATTATAGTGATTTAAACTATTTTCGTGTGTTTGTAGGTCCAATTGGCAAAGGTGACAAAAAAGGGCAAAATGGAGCAATTTGGAGCAGTTTTGGACTTGGATTGGATAGCATGCATATGGAGCATAATGGATGGACGTTTTTGGTGAGAAATGATGCTAAAAATGTGCTACAAATCTGGAAGAATTAAATTAAGGCTTGGAAGACAAGGAATCAGCTGAAAACAAGGAGACCTTATCCAATCTTATCTTATCCATCCTATCCAACTAACATTATATTATCTTATCCTAATCCTATCTTACCTTATCTCCAACTGAAAGGGTGAGTACTTATCATGTTTTAACAATGTATATTTGATTCTAGAAGTCCTAAAATCATGCAAACAATTTAATCCCTTTTCTCCTATAATTGTGTCGTGCCTTATCCTTGTCCTCCAAGGATTGGTGCCGTGAGTCTGCCTATATATACACACATTGTGCCGCAACTTTGAGGAGGGGATTTTTCAGAGAGAGAGAGTTTTAGAGAGAAAATATATCAGTGTGCACATGCTTATGAGAATTTTAGAGACTTGTGCCGTGCTTGCGAGAAAGGAAGGAGATAAGGAGTTTTGAGCCGTGCTGCATCCAAGGATTGTGCAATATGCCATTGGATTGCTAGAGCGTCTTGGGTTCTTTCTATCCTTAGTTTTAGTTTCAATGTTTATTTTAGATTGCTTTTCAACTATGACAAACATGTGTAACTAAATTTTTTTTAGCTAGAGGTGAATTCGAAGCCATGATCATATGTTTTATATAAATTGATTACATCCAGTTATTGTTTCGTAAACCATGAATGTGATTTACTTATTTATTTTATAAAGAACTTATTCTTGTATGTTGATTAAGGACGCGTACTTAGTTTGCATGTAGGGATTTGATGCTAGAATATAAGGGAATTTCACCTAATCGTTATGAACTTATATTTGAAAGTAGTAAAAGTCACTTTTCATGATTGAGTTAAGTAAATTCCTGGCAGGAGTATCATGCAGTTCATAGTTACAAATGCTTTGTCAATGCTTATGATTTTCATAGAACTTAATGATCTTTGATATGTATCTCTATCATGTTGTTCATAGTTAGGGAACTTGAGAAGAATAATTTGATTACGTCGCTGAGTCCAATTTAATGAACTTGGGAAAATCTGAGAGTTAATTAGTCCTGTTCACAATTAATTTGGGGCTTTGTCATTCGTGGTTTATAGGAATAATAACCAGAAATCAATTTGTATGCATATGTTTCATGTGTGGAGAAGAATCATCTAGCTAGCATTTCACCCAATTTTCGTCCAAACCTACTTTGTTTCTACAATTTACTTGTTTTAAGTCAAAATTTCGTCCAAAAACCTCCCCCCTTAGTGTTTTGTGTTAGTTTTGTCTAATTTTCAGTTTTTAAGTCTAATTTGAGTTGATTAGCATCACTCATAATCCCCGACCTAGAACGATTCCTACTTACTCATACTACAATCATCTAAATTATAGGGTTTAATTTGTGTGTTAGTTTATACCACATCAGGTGCTGCGAATGGTTGGTGACCAAGGCGGGGCACTGGTTATTGGTGTTGTGTGGGATTAAGAGTGTTGGTACGTTTAAGATGGGGTTTTGAGAGGTGGTGGTGTGATTGGGCTGAGGATTTCAGGGTGGTGGCGGCATGGTTGGGGTTTAGGGGGTTAGTGCTACTGTTCTGGGGATTTTGGGAAGGGGCTGCTAGTGGAGATAGTCATTGATTTAAGGGAACTTTAATGAAAAACTTCCGGTACTATTCACTTTAATGGAAAACCACATTTTTACAATAAAAAGTCAATTATGGTACTATTCACTTTACCCTTTATTTTGTCCTTATCGTTAAAACTCAAAGTTTTTAAACAATTTTTATTAGTTTTCCTTTGATTTAAAGGTAGTTTACTTGCTTAGTGCTTACGCTAAGAGCTTATAGAAATAATTTACCTTGGGAGTTGTAGAATTTTGTTTAATGATAATGGTACTTTTTTAAACAAGGAAAAATTGAAGAGGAAGGATGTAGGGTTATTTTGGGAATAATGGTGGGTGAGGAAAGAGTTTATGAGTTTTTACACTCTTTAGGGAGGGTGGGAATATAATGTAGATAAAGAGATAAGACAATGTAATGGGCATAGTACCACTCTTAAGTTTTTGCCTAAGGATTAAAGATGAAAAACAAAATAATATAATTTCAAAGGAATCCAAAGTGTGACCGATTTTCTTTCTTGTTTCAGTTTTGATGGGCCGCAAATGTAACGGGCCTGAACAAGAGTTATATCTTCAACAAAATGGATGGAGCCCATTTACCAAAAAGAAAAGATAATGCCCACTACTAGTAGTGCGTACTATTCACCGGCGCGTAATTTAGCAAACACCTTTGAGCTCCTCGTCTCTCACTCACTGCTTCGAAATCTGGAAAAAAAGACTCACGCTTTTTCCTCTCCGAAGTATCCTTCTTCATCCTCAGACCGAATATTCCACATTTCGAAAACCTTTAGGGTTTTCTCTTCGACTTCTCATGGAGAATCGAACTCTTATTTTACTACTATCCTTCTGCCTCTTCGCAGAAGCTTCACTTTCCCTCACATTGTCGTCGAAGCTCGTCCACCGCTTCTCGGAGGAGGCCATGGCGGTTTGGGAGTCCAGAAGCGGCGGAAACGCGTCCCTGAAGACATGGCCTAAGAGGAACAGCTTCAACTACTTTCAGCTTCTTCTGAAAAGCGATCTAAAGCGGCACAGACTGAAGCTGGGGTCGAAACGCGATCTTCTGATTCCTTCTCAAGGAAGCCAGACATTGTTCTTCGGAAACGAGCTTGATTGGTGAGTGTACTTCAGTTCCCTGTTTGGTTACTCAGGAAACGAAGCAAAAAAATATACTTTTTCTTGAAAATTAATTGAGTTTTTATGTGTTAATTATATGAATTTTTTTTTATGGATTTTCAGGTTGCATTATGCTTGGATTGACATAGGGACACCGAATGTTTCGTTTATGGTTGCATTGGATGGTGGGAGCGATTTGCTTTGGGTTCCATGTGATTGCATACAATGTGCCCCTCTGTCTGCCTCCAATTATGATTCTTTGGTATACCTTTCCCTTCTCAAATTACTAATTATTTGGGTCGCATTTTGTAGTTTTTAATTTATTTTGTCCGGTAAATTTATTTGTCAAGTCTACTTGTCATTTGTAATTTTGTTTATTAATTATGATGATGTTTTCGTAATTTTTTTGGAAAATTGGCCTAACTGATCATTTTTGAAATCCCAATGGCTGAAATGATCAATTTTTCAATTTCGTCGTTATTTGGTGTTGATCAGTTTAGCAATTGAGATTGGATTTCTGATTATTTTAGCAATTTGAGAATTATGCTTTCTTGATTATTATTTGGTCTGTGAAATATCTAGTGTGTTTCTTCTGTGTTCAAGTCTGGTAATTTCCTAAAAGATAATATCTCGACGGCTAAGACTTTTAGCAGTTAATTCCCATGATTGATTGGCAGGTGCTCCCCCATATATGGAGCATCTATGGTGCAGGATAGGGATCTGAATCAGTATAGACCATCTTTATCAAGTACCAGCAAACAACTGAGTTGCAGCCATCAGTTATGCAAATCGAGCACGAATTGCAAAGGTCCAGCAGAACCTTGCCCTTACATTGTTCAGTACAAGTCAGAAAATACTGCAAGCTCTGGATTTCTGATTGAGGATGTTTTACATTTGACATCTGCCAGCAAAAATACAGCACCTAGTTCTGTGCAGGCTCCAGTCATCGTTGGGTGTGTTTTCATTCAATGCTCTGCCTGTCTATTTTGGTTGTGACTGACTTGCTAGTTGGTATGCATGAATATCATAAGTGATGATTTGTTTGCTAGTTGTTAGCAATGGTTGATTTTTTTTTCTCTGTTTTATACTTTATTTTTCAAACAATGCAGCTGTGGTAGGAAACAAACTGGTGGCTATTTGGAAGGAGCTGCTCCTGATGGTGTCATGGGTTTGGGACCTGGGGAGATTTCGGTTCCGAGCGTACTTGCAAAAGCAGGAATGATCCAGAATTCATTTTCACTTTGTTTTGATGCCAATGGTTCGGGGAGAATTCTCTTTGGTGACCAAGGACATCTTGCCCAACAATCTACTCCTTTCTTGCCTATGGAAGAAAAGTAGTATGTGTCTCTTTAATTGATGTTGGTTTTATTAGCTTTGTGACTTCTAGAGCTGCTCATAAATCTTATTTAGATGCTCTAGCTTTAAAAGGTATAATTTCTTTGTTATCTTGCTTCAGTGTTGCGTATTCTGTTGGAGTAGAGCAATGTTGTGTTGCGCGTTCCTGTCTGAAGCAAACTGGATTCCAAGCTCTGGTTGACAGCGGCTCATCTTTTACTTATGTTCCAACTGAAGTTTATGAAAAAATTGTATTTGAGGTGCTGTTTTTATTTTTATTTTTTTACTTATGTAAAATATGAATTTTATTTTAAAGGGTCCAAAACTTTGACCATTTGATGATAACAGTTTGACAAGCAAGTGAATGCTACTAGAATTGACCTCCAACAGTCGCCTTGGAAGTACTGCTATATGTCAGGTTTGGATTTTACCTGAGGAGCTTTCTTAAAGCCTTTTTGCTTTATCTCATTTCTGTCAAACTGAATGTCTTGTTTTCTTGTGATGCAAAGTTCATTGGAGTTGCTTAACATTCCTACTATGAAACTCATGTTCCCTCTGAACCAAAGCTTTCTAGTCAATAAGCCAATATTTTCTGAGACTCTGGATCAGGTAAAGTAATTCTACTTCTTGAGGGCATAATACTTTCAAGGCATTTCATTTAGTTAAACTTGTTTAGATGAGAATCCTTGAGCCTTGAGGCCTTAGAGATGTTTATCGACATGGTTAGCATTTATTCCTTTTACTTGTGGCTAAGTTTTCTATATTTTGAAAATTTATAGTTGTGTTCAATTCTTGGAGGAAAATATTTTATCAATTTCTGCTAATCTTTTGTGTATGGCTCTGCGAAACATATTCTTTCTTAATTGTCATAACCTGGGAAAAGACGTGAGATATTATCAGGCTTTTTGGAAAAATCTGTGCCTCGTGAATAGTTTTACTGCTGCTGTTTGAAAAATCGTTTTGCCACTGCTTTTTGGAAAATTGTTTCCATAGTGCAGATCCAATTGGCCAAACTGTTCTCAGTTTTGCTATATGTGTATGCTTCTGTATAGTATATGGTAGGGTAATTAACCTTGGGTATGTTTGAATGAGGGTTTCACAAGACTCAAGGGATTGATGTCAAGCTACGGAGAAATGGACCATAAAATGTAACATGGAGGGGATCCCATGTGAGAGGGATTTGCAAAACCCTACTTGGGAGGTGTCATAAAAAAAAACCATCCCACATACTTTTGTAATGCACATGGAGGGTTTCTCTAATCCCCTCCATGTTACACTTTATGGTCCATTTCTTCATAGCTTGACATAAATCCTTTGGGTCTTGTAAAACCCTCATTTGAACATACTGAACTTCCGAAGTTTATCTCAGCTTCATGCACTTGTAATTTATATCTTTTAGGATTTATTCTGTTCAAAGGCTTCAATATAAAATTTATAAATACATTGGAATTTTGGGTGCAGAAATATACGATATTCTGTTTAACTTTATTGCGGACAGATGATGAGTATGGCATCATTGGACGTGAGTAGACCCCTATGCCTGTTCCACTCTCTTGCTCTCATTTACGCACACTATATTTTTATGACCTGGATAACATTTATGTTGCAGAGAACTTCATGGTGGGTTATCGCCTGGTTTTCGACAGGGAAAATCTGAAGTTTGGTTGGTCCAATGCCAATTGTAAGTACCTAAAATTTACTGCTTATGCTGACTTGGAAGTTTTAGTTCTTTCAGCTATACACTTTGCTTCTCATCGACTTGAACTGATTTTATGAACATATAAAATCTTTTTTTTTTTTTTTTTTTTTGTCCTTAACTCCGCCTATGTTCTTACATTGCCGGTCCCAAGCCCGGATAAAAGAGGAGGGGGAGGGCGTCAGGTAGTCGACAGCCGGCACTCCATGATCACGTCGAATCCTTATGAAAATGAATCCAGAACGAAATCGCGCTAAAGCTAGGGCGTCACCCGTAAGTGGCGCACTGTGTGGCCCGAGCACAGTGATAAGTGAGTAAGGGTCGCTGTATCTCCATCGGCACCCGGATGCAGTGTTAAATGAGCAAGGGGGCCATAGAAACTTCTTTTCGAACGACTCCACTCAAAGTTGTTTGGGAGCATATGCTCCTATCAACTTTACACGGGACACACAAAAGAAGTACTTTGATCCTATTAGACGGGGGAGGGTGAAGAAGCTAGGACAGAAGGGTAGAGTTCAAGAGAGCAAAATGCGTTTAGGAACGTGGAATATAGGAACCTTAACGGGAAAATCTATGGAAGTAGTGGAAGTTATGGTGAGGAGAAGGATAAATATTATGTGCCTACAAGAAACTAAGTGGGTTGGTCGTAAAGCAAAGGATCTAGAAAACTCAGGGTTTAAACTTTGGTATTCGGGCACAAATAGAACGAGAAACGGTGTTGGCATCATCGTGGACAAGACCTTGACACAAGATGTCGTAGATGTCAAGAGGGTAGGAGATAGAATCATGGCAATCAAGATTGTAATAGGACAAGAACTTATCAATGTGATTAGTGCGTACGCACCTCAAGTAGGGTTGGATACGAGTTCGAAGGAGAAATTTTGGGAAGACCTTGGAGACTTGGTGCAAGGAATTGCTCAGACGGAGAAGTTATTTATAGGAGGAGATTTAAATGGACACGTGGGCAGGGAGACAGGCAACTATGGAGGTTTTCATGGTGGCCATGGTTTTGGGGAGAGAAACGAGGATGGGGAAGCTATCTTGGATTTTGCAATGGCATATGATCTCTTTTTAGCCAACACCTTCTTTAAGAAGAGAGAAGAACATGTGATCACCTACAAGAGTGGGTCGTCAAAAACACAAATAGATTTTCTTCTAATGAGGAAAGGGGATCGTATAACTTGTAAGGATTGCAAAGTTATACCAGGAGAGAGCGTGGCTAATCAACATCGCTTGTTGGTGATGGATGTACATATCAAAAGAGAGACAAAAGAACAAGACTTAGAAGTGCCCAAGGACTAGATGGTGGAATCTAAAAGAAGAAAAACAAGCCATTTTCAAAGAGAAAGTAATCACCCAATGTGTGTGGGATAGAGAGGGGGAAGCTAGCCAAATGTGGGATTCCATGGCTAGTTGTATCCGAAAAGTAGCAAAAGAGGTATTAGGAGAGTCCAAGGGCTTTGCCCCACACCAAAAGGAATCTTGGTGGTGGAATGAGGAGGTACAAACAAAGGTGAAGGCTAAGAAGGAATGTTGTAAAGCCTTATACAATGATAGGACCGATGAAAATGGTGAAAGGTATAGAAAAGCGAAGCAAGAGGCGAAGAAAGCTGTGAGAGAAGCTAAGTTAGCGGCTTACGACGATATGTATAAACGACTAGATACCAAAGAAGGAGAGTTGGATATCTATAAACTAGCTAGAGCAAGGGAAAAGAAGACAAGGGACCTAAACCAAGTGAGGTGCATCAAGGATGAGGATGGAAATGTTCTTGCTACAGAGAACGCGGTTAAAGACAGATGGAGAGGTTATTTTCATAATCTTTTCAATGAAGGACATGAAAGGAGTGCTTCTTTAGGGGAGTTGAGTAACTCAGAAGAGTGTAGAAACTACTCTTTTTATCGTCGAATCCGGAAGGAAGAAGTGGTTGTAGCTTTGAAGAAGATGAAGCATAGAAAAGCAATAGGCCCAGACGATATACCAATCGAAGTGTGGAAAGTTTTGGGAGAGACAGGTATAACATGGCTCACTGACCTTTTCAATAGGATTTTGAAAACGAAGAAGATGCCAAATGAGTGGCGAACGAGCACTTTGGTGCCTATCTACAAGAATTAGGGCGACGTACAAAATTGCATGAACTATAGGGGTATTAAGCTAATGAGTCATACAATGAAGCTCTGGGAGAGAGTCATTGAGCATAGATTGAGGCAAGAGACACGGGTTTCGGACAACCAATTCGGGTTCATGCCAGGGCGCTCAACCATGGAGGCAATCTATCTCTTACGAAGATTGATGGAAAGATATAGAGATGGGAAAAAGGATTTACACATGGTCTTTATAGATTTGGAAAAAGCGTATGATAGGGTCCCAAGAGACATTCTTTGGAGGATTTTAGAGAAGAAAGGAGTACGAGTAGCATATATCCAAGCTATAAAGGATATGTATGAAGGAGCAAAGACTGCCGTAAGAACTCATGAAGGACAAACCGAAAGCTTTCCCATAACTGTAGGATTACATCAAGGCTCATCCTTAAGTCCTTACCTTTTTGCGTTGGTAAATGGATGAGTTAACAGGACATATTCAAGATGATATTCCTTGGTGTATGCTTTTCGCAGACGATATAGTGTTGATAGATGAAACTCAGGAAGGGGTAAATGCAAAGCTTAACCTTTGGAGAGAAGTGTTGGAATCTAAAGGTCTTCGCCTAAGCCGATCAAAGACGGAATATATGGAGTGCAAGTTCAGTGCAAATGGAGGCCAAAACGAGTTAGGGGTGAGGATCGGAGATCAAGAAATACCAAAGAGCGACCGTTTTCGTTACCTAGGATCTATCTTGCAAAAGAACGGAGAATTAGATGGAGATCTCAACCATAGAATACAAGCTGGATGGATGAAGTGGAAGAGTGCATCCGGCGTGTTGTGTGACCGCCGTATGCCACTGAAGCTCAAGGGAAAATTTTATAGGACGGCAATAAGGCCGGCGATGCTGTATGGCACAGAATGTTGGGCGGTGAAGTATCAACACGTACACAAAATGGGTGTAGCGGAGATGAGGATGCTTCGTTGGATGTGTGGGCACACGAGAAAGGATAAGATTAGGAATGAGGATATCCGGGGTAAAGTAGGAGTAGCCGAAATTGAAGGAAAGATGAGAGAAAATCGGTTACGGTGGTTTGGACATGTGCAAAGAAGGCCTACTGACGCTCCGATTAGAAGATGCGACTATGGGACAGAGGTTCAGGGCCGAAGGGGTAGAGGAAGACCTAGGAAAACTTTGGAAGAGACTCTCTAAGAAAAGACTTAGAGTACTTGGATCTAACGAAGGAAATGACACAGGACCGAGCACAATGGCGTTCTAAGATTCATATAGCCGATCCCACTCAGTGACTTGGATTTTCCAAGTCTCCAACCGAGAAGTTTTCCTCACTCGGGAAATTAAGGGAACACTACCTCAACCTACATGCTCCACTCACAAAGCTTCAACAAAAGAAAATTCAAAGAACTTAGCGAAGAAGGCTTTGGTGTATTTAACACAAACGTTGAAATGAAGGAAAGCTCATTTATTGATATTCCCGATAAGCTACAAATATGTACATATACATAAGTCAAAATAAACAAACAAGAGGGAGCCTTCACAAAGGTTGCTTAGGAGAAGTCTCAGCAGTCGGTAGAGCCCCAGAAAGAGAAGGCACCGGAGGGGGATCATTCGGAGCCTCAGTACTGGACAGAACCCTAGAAGGAGGAGGCATCAGAGGTTGATCATTTGGAGCTTCATTACGCGGTACAGCCCCAGAAGACGAAGGCAATAAATGCCTTTGGAACAAACCCACAAATCTCTGATGATCAAGTAAAACCTGACCATCAGATTCCTTCATCTGGTCAAGCTTCCTCTTCATGTTTGTAGCATAGTCATGTGCGAGCCGGTGCAACTGTTTATTCTCATGCTTGAGCCCTCTAATCTCCTGTTTGAGACTCATCACTTCAGCCGCCAATGATTCAACTTGGCGGGTTCGAGCAAATAGGCGTTGGGCCATATTAGACACAGAACCTGCACACTGAACACTGAGAGCCAGCGAATCCTTAACAGCTAACTCATCAGACCGTTTGGAAAGTAGTCTGTTATCTTTGGGAGTGAGAAGGTTCCTGGCCACCACTGCAGCGGTCATATCATTCTTCATTACGGAATCCCCAACGGTAAGAGGACCAGTAGGGGAGACGAAGGATGGGCGCCATATGTTGTCTGGAGAAGGCGGGGCTGCCTCTTCAACAAGGTTCAAGTCAAAACGACGGTCGGAGGGGCCAGACATTTTCAAAGGTGTTGAAGAGAGAAGAGGTCGGACAAATCAAGATCTTAGAAGTGCAAGAATGGAGCTTCTACTGGTGGATTTCAAGTGTGCTTTAGAACTTAATGCCAGCCCCTATAAAAATCTGCACTCGACGGAGCTTCAGAAATCGAAGAGGCGTTTGCTTTCTCAAAAGTTGGGCTGCTCAGAGACCACGAGGGTTGATCTCAGAAATCGAAGAGGCGTTTGCTTTCTCAAAAGCTGGGCTGCTCAAAGACCACGAAGGCCAATCTCAGAAATCGAAGAGGCGCTCGCTTTCTCAAAAGCTGGGCTACTCAGAGACCACGAGGGCCGATCTCAGAAATCGAAGAGGCACCTACTTTTCCAGCCTTGTCAGCACCTGTCACACGCACACTCAGCTTTGCGGAAATTATGGGCATTCTGTCGAAGACTTTTGGTGAAGTAGAAATCACATGAATCTTACTGCTCAATCACCCACTTTCCACACGCAACAATAGCTCATGGGTACCACATATAACTTTGCCAAAGTTCTCTGCCAAAGTTGAGCACGTGAAGCTTGCAGCTCCTACTACATCGCTCTAACCAAGAAGGGTAAAAGAATAGCAAAGAAACAGCACTAACAAAGTTTAGACACATAAATTTTGAAGGTCTAGCTACCATATTATTACCCACAAGGGTAAAGGAACAGTACCACTGCTGGATAATTGGAAAGTCCTTGTGTGTCAACCTCTGTGCTTCGTGGCAAGGTAGACTAGCAAACATGCCCAACCTTTACTCACATTCGAGAAAACTCCCAACAAGATTGCTTGCTCCAAAATCGAAGAGGCACCGCCCTCCGAATCTCGAGAGCCAGACTCCCAACATGATTACTTTCTCAAAAATCGAAGAGACACCGCTCTCCGAATCTCGAGAGCCAGACCCCCAGCATGATTGCTTTCTCAAAAATCGAAGAGGCATCGTTCTCCGAATCAATCGAAGAGGCGCTCGCTTTCTCAAAAGCTGGGCTGCTCAGAGACCACGAGGGCCGATCTCAGAAATCGAAGAGGCACCTACTTTTCCAGCCTTGTCAGCACCTGTCACACGCACACTCAGCTTTGCGGAAATTATGGGCATTCTGTCGAAGACTTCTGGTGAAGTAGAAAGCACATGAATCTTACTGTTCAATCACCCACTTCCCACACGCAACAATAGCTCATGGGTACCACAGATAACTTTGCCAAAGTTCTCTGCCAAAGTTGAGCACGTGAAGCTTGCAGCTCCCACTACATCGCTCTGACCAAGAAGGGTAAAAGAATAGCAAAGAAACAGCACTAACAAAGTTTAGACACATAAATTTTGAAGGTCTAGCTACCATATTATTACCCACAAGGGTAAAGGAACAGTACCACTGCTGGATAATTGGAAAGTCCCTGTGTGTCAACCTCTGTGCTTCGTGGCAAGGTAGACAAACATGCCCAACCTTTACTTACACTCGAGAAAACACTCCCAACAAGATTGCTTGCTCCAAAATCCACCGTCCTCCGAATCTCGAGGGCCAGACTCCCAACAAGACTACTTTCTCAAAAATCGAAGAGGGTAAAGGAACAGTACCATTGCTGGATAATTAGAAAGTCCCTGTGTGTCAACCTCTGTGCTTCGTGGCAAGGTAGACTAGCAAACATGCCCAACCTTTACTCACATTCGAGAAAACACTCCCAACAAGATTGCTTGCTCCAAAATCGAAGAGGCACCGCCCTTCGAATCTCGAGAGCCAGACTCCCAACATGATTACTTTCTCAAAAATCGAAGAGACACCGCTCTCCGAATCTCGAGAGCCAGACCCCCAGCATGATTGCTTTCTCAAAAATCGAAGAGGCATCGTTCTCCGAATCTCGAGAGCTAGATCCTCGATAGGATTGCTTGTTCGAAAACCGAAGAGGCACCACTTTCCCAACTTCAAGAGCCGGATCTCCTTGGATAAAGCTTGTCTGTAATCTTCACACGCAACATCAGCTTTCCAGATACCACAGACCACTTTTTCAAAGTGCTCTGACAGAGTTAAAACATGTGAAGCTGGCAGCTCCCACTACCGTGCTATGACCAAGCAGGGTAAAGGAATAGCATTACTACTTGTTGTTAGGGAGACTCCTATATATGTCGACCTCCATCCCCAACGGACAGGCAGACCTGCAAAAATGCTCAACCCTTCTCATATCTGAGAGGGCACTCCCAACGAAGCCTTTCGAAATATTCAGCTTTCTTTCCCCCCCGATAATACCTCTGCAAACAAGCTATACTAGAGCAAGAATATCTCATATCATCAGGGTTAAAAGCAAGAGTATCCCATATCATGCTTTTTCCCTGTCTTTTCCTTTGGCCTTGTTCTTACCTGCAAGACAAGGAGAAAGAGAGCAATCAGTCAGCACTTGGAATCAAGCTTCCAGCCAGGAACTGACTGCCTGGAACCCCTTACCTGATTACTTACCTGGCATTGCTCTCGAGTACTCATCTTCAACATCTTATGCTCCCAGGGAAGATACCGCATCTGCCTGAGGAACAGATAGGGCAAGTGAGAAGGATACAAGGAAGCATGTGGAGACAAGCGTAACAGCACACGTGCCGATACATCCATTACTCTGTCAAAAGCAAAAGTATCCCATATTAGCAGGGTCGAACATACTCTAGATTTGATGGACTTGTTTTGACCCTCAAATTCTTCAGTCGGCCTTATTCTTTGGAGGAAACCAGAAAACCCTCCAGCTCAGTTCAAGAATAAGCCTGTGGAAAGTTACTTCTTCAAAAGCAAAAGTATCCCATATCATCTCTTCTCATTTTTCTTCTCTTTATCCTTCATGCTGCCTGTAAGATAAGGAGAATGTGAACAATCAGCCGGAGCTCTGATTGCTTACCTTGTCTGTCACCTCTTTCAGCAGATCACCTAGCTCGGCGACTTGGGACTCCTACTACATGGTTTGTATCGCGCTTGACCAAGCCTGAAACTACAAGTAAGCTTCAAGTGAAATTGATACATTACCTTGTGCATCTCCACCAGTTAAAGATACCACCCCTGGATGGAGGAAGAGTACTTTCAGAGAAGATGTCACATCTACCTATGAGACAGATAAGGCAAGTCAAGACGATACCACACTCCGATACTTAGAAGTTTCGTGATTACGAGATCATTCTCCCACAATATTTCCTAATGTCATTTGTACTAAATCATTCACTTGTACTCACTAAAGGAGAGCTTGAACCTATGTACTTGTGTAAACCCTTCACAATTAATGAGAACTCCTCTATTCCGTGAACGTAGCCAATCTGGGTGAATCACGTACATCTTGTGTTTGCTTTCCTATCTCTATCCATTTTTATATACTTATCCACACTAATGACCGGAGCAATCTAGCGAAGATCACAAAAAGCGCGACCGTTTTCGCTACCTAGGATCTATCTTGCAAGAGAACGGAGAATTAGTTGGAGATCTCAACCATAGAATACAAGCTGGATGGACGAAGTGTAAGAGTGCATCCGGCGTGTTGTGTGACCGTCGTAGGCCACTGAAGCTCAAGGAAAAATTTTATAGGACGGCAATAAGGCTAGCGCGATGTTGTATGGCACAGAATGTTGGGGCGGGTGAAGCATCAACACGTACACAAAATGGGTGTAGCGGAGATGAGGATGCTTCGTGGGATGTGTGGGCACATGAGAAAGGATAAGATTGGGAATGAGGATATCCGAGGTAAAGTAGGAGTAGCCGAAATTGAAGGAAAGATGAGAGAAAATCGGTTCCGGTGATTTGGACATGTGCAAAGAAGGCCTACTGACGCTCCGGTTCGAAGATGTGACTACGGGACAGAGGTTCAGGGTCGAAGGGGTAGAGGAAGACCTAGGAAAACTTTGGAAGAGACTCTAAGAAAAGACTTAGAGTACTTGGATCTAACGGAGGACATGACACAAAACCGAGCGCAATGGCGTTCTAGGATTCATATAGCCGACCCCACTTAGTGGGAAAAGGCTTTGTTGTTGTTGTTGTTGTTGTTTTTTTTTTGTCCTTCATTCAACATGCAGAATCTGCAGATTTGTGTGAAGAATGGCTCTTTAGATATGATATTATACAGTAAAAAACTTAAAAGTAGAAAATTGTCAGAATTATGTGGATGATCCTATATTGTTAGTTAGCTTATTGCATATGTCACTCTGTAAACTACTTAGTTGAAATTGATGTAGAGACCTCCGGCCTGACTTTTTAAGTGCAAATTTGGGCAGGTTTTTTCCCTCCCTTTCTGTTCAAAATTTATCGACCTGCAAGCAGGACTTTGGTCCAAAAAGCGGGGCAATACCCCGCCTCCAATTCACAATAAGTAAAATTACAGTCGGATTCTATTGACCTTTTTGTTACCTAATTTTGTGCAACAAATTGATTATGGTCATGTTAACTTGATTTCTATGTATACTGATTTCTCATTTTAATTAAATGTTTAAATTCGATTTTTGTTTGAAACAAACCCTTCGGATTGGTCTTTTCATGTTTGGATCGTGGATCACCTTATTTTGAATACTACATCGCTTAGATTACAGATAAATTTCTACATAAGGTTCTTAATATCAGTGGCGTCCAAACCCCCTCTTCTATGCATGTGGTAACACTAGTGCTTTTATTCTGCAGGTGAAAATAATAATCACGGTAAGAAAGTTAATCAGGCGCCATCAACTAACGGGTCAACAAGCCAACTCCCAGTCCCAACCAGTGAGCAACAGAACATCTCCAACCCTCACACCGTTGCACCGGCCATTGCCAGGAAGGCACCCTCCAAACCCTCTGCAGCAGCATCCAGGCAAATCCCTTTTCTGCTCTGCTTGACCAGTTCTTTACTTTTGCTAATGTGTCTATTAAATCATTAATCTTACCTAGTTGAACCCTTTGCACGTGTAAACAAATTTCTTTATACTATTATCGAGCTCTCCAAAATTCAAATGGTTTTTACTATTCCTGTTGGTTTTTGTATCAATGAGCACTGGGAAGATCTTTTGTTGGTGTATCTACTTTGAGTTGGTAATTACCTTTGTTTCTGTAGTGTTGTGCTTTTTTTATGTTGCTAATGGAACACGTACCGTTGTTTATTAGCACCTTAGATTTGATTTATCTTAATTTTTGTCATAATATTGACAAGTATCCCAACTAAATTTTGTGGTCGGCATTTTAGATTCATGGATTTAGAAAATATTTAGGAGATTCATAGACCTAATTTCCAATGAAAGTGACGGGTCCTTTTAATGTTGTATTACGTATTCAGATAGGAACATTGACAGACATTATAGTTTTTTTTGTTTTTGTTTGTGTTTTTGTTTAATGTTGTATTATTAAATAAACACTCTGAAAGTCAAGAAAATCATGGTTCCAGGATCTGGTGACTGCTTAAAATATGAGGTAATTACACTAAATAGATTGTGCTGTGTCGGAATTTCAATCCCATGGTGGAATCTGGATTCCGATCTTGATATATTTATTGTTTGAGGATAAAAACGATTGTGATTGCTACGCGGCGAGTTCTTTAAAGAAAAAGATGATCAGATGGATGAGTTGTTATTCTGTAGTCTTTTTCTTTGCTACTTGCTGGTCGTTTTCACACATATTTTAGCGACTGTGACACATTGATTGTATAAATCTCGCGTCGTGAACTTGACACTTTTATTAGAAAATCTCATGAACTGAGACTCAAAATTAATTAACCGTGATGATTGGTAAATCTCGTCTCATGAGGCTCACGTATAACTAATGAGTAATTGTGACAAATGCATATATCTCATATTGTGAGGTTTGCTCCGACTTACGAATTTGCAAGTGGATAGTTGAGGTTAAGATTTATATTTATTTATAGTTATACTATTATTTTTGTTACAAGATTTTTCATTTCTACCAAACCCGTTTTTGGCTAGGGCAAGTAGGTTGCCCCTCTTGCAAGAAGCCTACTCATATGTTTCTTGTAATCTTGTGGTCAAATTATTTTTCTTAATATTGGCTACTAGCTGCATCTAATGTCTTGTTCCCTTCACATATTTGTTTGTATAAATAAAAATACATTTTATTCTTTATGTTAATATGATTTAGGATTTGGAATATTCACTTTTGACACACATTTTGACATCAGTTTTTGTGGGGCTCACTCTGTAATATATTTCAACTGTCTATTTTTTGTCTTATCTAAAAAATCATGCCTATAAAAAATTACCAAAATTTGAAACTATTTGACCATTGGATTAAGTTTAGCGTTTCTTTGTAGAACCGTATTCATCTATGTTTTTACTACAAATGAATATTTAAATAGTTTTAAATTTGTTTAATTTTTTGCAAGGATGATCTATGAACAATATATTAAAATATAAACGATTTAGATTTTTGAAATACATAACAAAGTAAGCCCTATAAGACGTGTGTCAAAAATGTGTATTTTCGAAACCCATACACACACACATATATATATATATATGTATGTATATATTGTCAATAGTTAGGTGGGGTTTGAGGAGGTACAGAAAAAAAATAGCGAGGAAGCCTCAAATTCGGTTGAGGAGGGTCACAAGAGTGCTTGAATTTCACTAGGGACTGGCCCTGCTCATGCTTTATATAATTGGTGCCTTGTTTTTGCGTGGGGGCCTCACCACTTATTGGGCATCTTCCACAGTACCCAAAAACCATCCTCGAAATGAACTTTGCAGAAAGGGGTAACAAATAAACCCTAGACGACGGAGGTATATGTCATGACCCGTACGTGTGAAGCCATGCATGCATGCATGCAAGCACCAATTATGAAGCCAACACCGAATAATGTGTGTTCCTTCGATATTTATATACCTACCAGAATAAAGGTGCCACCTGATGTTTGAGTTTTTGAAATAAAAGCTCATAATAATTGGTCGACAAAGCTTAATAATTGGTTTATAAAATTTGGTGACGAGGGCACCAATTTATAGAGATATAGCACAGAGTCCATTAGCTAGCTAGGCATGACGGTAAGGGACATAGTTATGGAAATTATATGAATATGGCATCATTGGACGCTTTCATTGGCAGGCCCCGATGTCTGTGGCTTTACACTTTCTTCCCTAGTGATAAGTACTTATATGTAGGGGTGGGCACTTAGAACCGAAAATTGAAACTGAAACACGAACTAAATCAAACCGCACCGAACGATTTGGTTTTGCGGTTTTGAAACGGTTTCGGTTTTGAAACCGAACCGCAACATAGAAAATGGTTTGGTTTTGGTTTTGGCTTTTGAAAACCTTACCGAAACTGAACCGCACCGTAAATATTAATAAACATTTAATTAAATGTCCATATTAGATTTCATGTTTTAATTGGTTGCTTATTAGAATCTATACACTTAGTATGAACTCAACCACACTAGAATATCATCATTCATCATTTTTTTTCGTTCATTAACTTGAAGGACCTTTGTTATTTTATACCATCATACACACACACACATACATGTACAAGGGTGGACTAATCATGTTATCAAGAGTTGAACAATGATCTAATGAAGCACTCATTTGAAGTATGATATCACATATTATAGTATGAAAGTTTCACTCACATTTAATGAATTCAAAGTTATTCAACTTGTTTTATGTTATACATTGTAAGGGACACCCTTTTGTTGCACAAACCATATTTTAACATCACAACTGCATGCAACATGCTCATTGTTTACATAACAAATGTCTTTTTCCTATTGCTACTGGGAAATGTTAATTAATATGTTAAATTGCAAATTGTACATTTTTTCTTAAAAACCAAACTGAAACTGTTTGAAACCGCACCGAACCGAATCAAATGGTTTGGTTTCATTTCGGTTTTGGCTTCAAAACCGCACCGAACCGAACTGCAAAAAATTTTGGTTTTGGTTTCGGTTTCACTCAAAACCGCACCGAACCAAACCATGCCCACCCCTTTATATGAGTTCGTTGAACGAAGGAGGAAGTGAATGGTGTTTCATTTAGAGAGGATTATAAGAAAGATTAGACTCCCCTATAATCCTACCATTTTAAGGAGGATTTGAATGGATAATTTTATCATTTTTCTCTTGGATGAAGTGGTCTGTTGATGTACAAAATCAGCGAGGACTTTGGTACAACAAAAAGTGTCAGGTTTGTGACCTTCGCTTGGTTGCTTCGATCACTAGTGAAGATAAGTACGTAAATGAATAGGGACAGGGAAGCAAACACAAGATGTACGTGGTTCACCCAGATCGGCTACGTCCACGGAGTAGAGGAGTTCTCATTAATTGTGAAGGGTTTACACAAATACATAGGTTCAAGCTCTCATTTTGTGAGTTCTAGTGAATAGTTTAGTACAAAATGACATTAGAGATTATTGTGGGAGAATGATCCCTATTTATAGAAGAGAGTTTCTAGTTTTGTTCTAACATTGACACGTGTCGTGTTGTGATTGGCTTCTGATGTTGACACGTGTCGCGTTGTGATTGGCTCTGATGTCGACACGTGTCGCATTGTGATTGGTCTCCTGGTTGAAGGGAATCTCTTCTGGGTCCTTGACGGTATAACGTTGACCGGTGCTCAGTAGTTTCGGGATTGGTCAAGTATGGTACAAACAGTGCTCCCCTAAGTTCCCGAGTGAGGGAAGCTCCTCGGTTGGGGACTTGCAAGATCCAAGCCATTGAGTAATCACGAAACTTCTAAGTACCGAAGTGTGGTATCATTTTCACGTGCCTTATCTGTCTCATATGTAGATGTGACATCTTCTCTGGAAGTACTTTTCCTCCATCCATGGGTGGTATCTTTAACCGATGAAGATGCACAAGGTAATGTATCAATTTCACTTGAAGCTTACTTGTAGTTTTGGGCTTGGTCAAGTACGATACAAACCCTATAGTAGGAGTCCCCCAAGTCGCCGAGCTAGGAGATCTGCCGAAAGAGGTGACAGACAAGGTAAGCAGTCAAACTTCCAAGCAAGCAACCTAGGATCGGAGGTTCGACTTCGGCTTCCGGTTGATTGTTCTCCTTCTCCTTGTCTCTCATTCAACTGTCAGGATAAGGAGAAGCAAATGAAGAAGAGATGATATGAGATACTTTTTCTTTTGAAGAAGTAACTTTCCACAAGCTTATTCTTGAACTGTGCTGGAGGGTTGTCTGGTTCCCTTCAGAGTATAAGGTCGATTCAAGAATTTGAGGGTCAAAACAAGCCCATCAAATCTAGAGTACGTTCGACCTTGATGATATGGGATACTTTTGCTGTTGACGGAATAGTGAATGTGGTATGGAAAGGTGTCGTGCTGTAGTGATCTGTTTCAGCTCACCGTTGAACCTTCTGCTTCAATTTTTTGCATGGCAGAAGTGGTGTGCAACCTTTGCATTTAAATGGTCATTCAGAACATTCATTCATAGTGACTCATCCACGCTTGGCAGCTTCAGTGTAAAGAGCCAATATCTGATCAACTGTCATGAGGTATTTGCCGGTGGAGTTCATGACCTTGACAGCAGTTGAGGATGAGTTCTCGAGAGCAATGCTAAGTAAGCAACCAGGCAAAGGTCTCAGGCAGTCAGTTCCAGATTAGAGGTTTGATTTCAGGTTCCGACTGACTGCTCTCTTTCTCTTTGTCCTGCAGGTGTGGACAAGGACGAAGACAAGAACAGGGAGAAAGCATGATATGGGATACTCTTGCTTTCGACCCTGATGATATGAGATACTCTTGTTCTTGGTGTAGCTTATTTGCTGAGGTATTATCAGGGGGAAATAAAGCTGAGTATTTCAAGAGGTTATGTTGAGGGTGCATTCTCGAATGCGAGAAAGGGTTGAGCATTTTTGCAGGTTTGCCTGTCCGTTGAGGAGGGAGGTCGATGTATATAGGGATTTCCCAATAACAAGTAGTAATGTTATTCCTTTACCCTTCTTGGTCACAGCAATGTAGTGGGAGCTGCCAGCTTCACATGTTTTAACTTTGTCAGAGCACTTTGAAAAAGTGGTATGTGGTATCTGGAAAGCTGATGTTGCGTGTGAAGATTACAGACAAGCTTTATCTAAGGAAATCTGGCTCTTGAAGTTCTGAGAG